TATCATTAATCTACAGATGGGGAAACAGGGGCATAAAGAAGGAAAGATGTCTGTCCAAGGTCACCCAGCTAGCACGGAGGTGAGGTCTCCCGACCCCTAGCCTCCTGTCCCTCCTCTCCAGGTTCTGCGGTGTCTGGTGAGACTGGGTGGGGGAGAATGGTGGCCAGCAAAGCTCTTCAGGGCAACAGGGACCGGGGGGGACCTGGGAGGAGTAGAAGCAGGCCACCAGGAGAGGGTGTGAGGACCCTGCAGGTAGAGGAGGTGGCATGCAGGTGAGGCGGGATGTGGGACATGGGAGGCTGGGGGGTAGGTAGACTGCACCCCCCCAATTCAGTCTTCCTGATGAGCAGGGCCGCAGGGAGAGCTGAGAGGAGGATGACCCCAAGGACGGAAGAGAGCCGGGATCAGTGAGCAACGTCTGGCAGGAGTATGGGGGAAGGAGGGGCCTCCCGCCGCAAGCTTGTGACCCCTGGCAGAGGTGTGCTTAAAGGACAGTACTGTTAACTCGTCTGACCCCCTGACAGATCCCGGCTGGGGGTTAGGAAAGGACTCTGCCATTCGCTAATTGTTTTTCATAGACAGTTTCCTGCTCACTCGGACTCACCTGGTGCTGATGTCAGCAGACTTCTACGTCTGTTCCTCGGGACCCATCACCTGCCAAAGCCCTGCTGCCGGCCCTGCCGGCGACCGGGGGAAGGAGGGTAGCGAGGTCCAGCAGAGTCACCGCAGGGCCAGGGCAAGCAGAGCACGGAGCTGCGGTGCCCCGCAGGCCCACGGAAAAGGCTCTGGTCTCTCGCATTTCAAATGGACTGCGGTGGCCGCTGCTGGGGACGCCACATTTCTGCTGAGTCAGAGCCATTTCAGCCTGTGCTCACCTGTAATAAGCGCGATTCTCTGGGAGACATTACCATATTGGATGTGGGGGCCAGCCAGGTAAGGCAGGAGGACAATCTAAAAGCCAGAGGTTATGACTTTTGATCTAAGCATTGGCTTTGAAATATTCAAAACTCCCCTGGAACCCACTTGGGGCAGTGCCATCCTTCGTTCTTCCGACAAAGAGGAAAAGCAAGTCAGACACGGACGGGCCTCTGGGCAGCTTGGTGGGCAGGGAGCGGGTGGGGCCCGTTGGCTAAAGTGGACGCAGCTCGGGTGAGGGCAGGAGCGCAGAGGCCCGATGGGGCTCGGGCAGGGTAGACGCCTCCTTGGTTGGGCTGAATAAGGCCTGGGTCCTCTCCAGCAAGCCGCAGGCAAACCAAGAGCCCCGCCAAGAACCCCGGCCAGCCGGTGGCAGAGTGACCCAGGGTCAGAGGTCTTTTTCACATTTTCCGTGTTGTATTTACCCCCCCACCTCGTGAGTGCAATCTGACCTAGCCGTGTGCAAGGCTTTGGGGGTTTTGAACTTGCCCTACATCAAATACACCCCCTCCTCCACCAGGGAGAAAACCCCAGCCACTCTCCGCTGCAGGCTCGGCGGGCATTTGATTGTCTAGAACACATCAAACAGCCTAAGTCTCCCTTGTAAAAGTTTTACAAGAAAATCATTGAAGACCAGCCGCGCTATCCTTCTTCTCTCCTCCTCCTTAAATTCCATCCCGAAGCTGATATTCTCGATCCCCCCAACTCAGTGTCGGCCGGCGAGGGCGAGGGCTGCTGAGCGAGCCGTGGCGGAAACCTCAGCCCTTGGATCATTAGACTTGCAGGCCACGGCTGTGGGATCTAGTGATTTGGACATATTTTATTTAACCAGCTTAGTAAAAGGTAATATTCAGCAGCTGTGATCTATAGCAGAATTACAATTTTCAGGGTCAAGGAGGGATTTTGATATTAGGAGGTTGGGCAGAATTGCTATGAAATCTCATGAGCTGTCTTTAAAAATAAATGAGAAAATAGGTTATCCAAGAGTCATTGTAAGGGAAAAATCAATAGGCAGTGTCTATTCACTTGGGCTATCAAAATCCTTGAAATTTGAACAAAAGTTTTACGTTTAGTGTACTGCAGGTTTTGAAATACCAGCGCTGGAGGTGCGGCGGGTACAAATTCATTGCGCTGTGCGTCCAAACAAGGCGAGCCCCGGGAAGCCGCCTGGCTTCCTCTGAAGACAGGGAGCATCTTGGTGACCAAATTAGACAGGCAAAGGGAGACTCCTGGAGAAGCTGTTTCATCCAAGGCCACAGTCACTTGAGAAGCAGCCGGTGTGGCAGGAGCACTAGTGCGGGTGTGGCCCACCCACGGCTCAGCGCCCCTTCCCGGCCCCTCCTCTCGTCCAGGAGGAAGGCGGATCCCACGTGTCCTCCCTCCCACGCAATCCACATCGCCAGGCCTTTGTTTTTTTTCTGTGTGTTTGTGTGAAGCAGAGTCTTGCTTTGTTGCCCAGGCTAGAGTGAGTGCCATGGCGTCAGCCTAGCTCACAGCAACCTCAAACTCCGGGGCTCAAGCAATCCTTCTGCCTCAGCCTCCCGAGTAGCTGGGACTACAGGCATGCGCCACCATGCCCGGCTAATTTTTTCTATATATATGTTAGTTGGTCAATTAATTTCTTTCTATTTATAGTAGAGACGGGGGTCTCGCTCTTGCTCAGGCTGGTTTCGAACTCCTGACCTTGAGCGATCTGCCTGCCTCGGACTCCCGATGACAGCAAATGGCGATTTAACAGGGAACCTCCTGGTGGTGGAGTTTTGGCTGATCAGGTCGCCCGAATGAAAGAAGTCGTTTTCCATCCATTCATTCATCCATCCTTCTATTCAACAGTAATATACTGAGGACACACTACGTGCCATGCTCGGTTCTGGCACAAAACATGGAGGAAAAAAAACGGGCCGTGCACTAGCCCTCCCAGAGTGTGCAGGGGGGTGGGGCAGGTGGGCGTTAAAAAATGAACAGAAATAAATACTCAAGTATATGTTGTGAAGAGGAAAAAGGTAGGTGGAGAAAGAATGAGGTGGGCCCCCTTGAGACTGGGGGAAGGGCTTGGGCAGGCTTCTGTGATGGCGCGTTAACAGGGAGGCCAGGAGGGAAAGGGCGGGAAGATTCCAGGCAGAGGCTCTGAGGTGGGAAGTAGCTTAGGGTGTGGGGGAGAAAGGGGGTGAGGGAGCTGCAGCCGAGGCAGGAGCAGGGAGGGTGGAGTTGGTTGGGGGTGGGTGTCGGGTCACGCAGGGCTCGGGGGGCTATGGGAAGGGATTCTGATTTGAAATGTTAAGCCAAGTCGAAGGATTTTGAGCTAGAAGGATCTGTGATGGTATTTTCATTTTCCAGTCGTCACCGTGGCTGTTGTGAGCCTGTACCACCTACCTGGTAGCGGTGGGGACAGCAGCAGCGGCCCAGGAGAGAGAGACGGCAGTGCGATCCAGCGTGGAGAACGGACTAGGACTCCAGAGTTCCCGGGAGCACGCGGGTAAGCGGTTACTTCTGCACTTCCTTTTTAGTTGGCATCAACTGAGGACACCGGGCACCATTTTATTGCCTCATTTGAATCTCTGTTCTACAGACTCTGTTGCCACCTGCCCCTGCCCCCGGCAGTGGATTATTCAGGGACCACTCAGTTCTCCAGGAGTCCAAGTTTGCATGTGGAGTCAAGCACTGGGGGCAGAATAAATGCTGTATCTGGCATGCCTCGGTATTCGAATTTTCCTGGACAATATTGCTATGAATTCATGTAAAAGCATTTTATTTAATATCACGGCATTTATCATTTTTCATAGTCTCCATTTTCTCAATCTTTTTTTTTAATGTCTCAAATGTGTCATCACATTTCCTTTAGGATGTCGTAGGCTTGACGTTGAGAAGGCTCAAATCAGCCCAACCAACCCGCCTCGCCTCTCCAGGTCTCTGTCCCCAGCCACCCGCTGGGTCTCCCTCGGTGGCCTTGAGCTTGGGGAAAGGCAGGGACGCTGCTTTGTGGCTCCGTGTTTTTGCCTTCCTGATCCCTGGTGCCACGTCTGACACTTAAGGTTAAAAAATAATTTTAAAACATTTTTAGAATGAATTTTTTTTAGAGAATAAATATCTTTCTTCTATTAAGGTATTCTTTTTTTTTTTTTTTTTTGAGACAGAGTCTCACTTTGTTGCCCAGGCTAGAGTGAGTGCCGTGGCGTCAGCCTAGCTCACAGCAACCTCAAACTCCTGGGCTCAAGCGATCCTTCTGCCTCAGCCTCCCGAGTAGCTGGGACTACAGGCATGCACCACCACGCCCGGCTAATTTTTTTTGTATATATATTAGTTGGCCAATTAATTTGTTTCTATTTATAGTAGAGACGGGGTCTCGCTCTTGCTCAGGTTGGTTTCGAACTCCTGAACTCAAAGGATCCGCCCGCCTCGGCCTCCCAGAGAGCTAGGATTACAGGCGTGAGCCACTGCGCCCGGCCTATTAAGGTATTCTTATAAGTAAGAATGTGCTCACTGATTGTACCATTGGAGCTATGAAATTAAGGCATTCTTGAGGTATTTTAAGTCCATTATTATGAAGAATCTGTACAGGAAAAAAACAAAACAAAACACCAACAAATATTGCCCCAAGCAGTATCCGTCCACCATGTTTCTGAGCAGCGTATTTAATCATGATGAGGAGTGTGATGGTTATGGTTTGTCGCAGGCCTGGTGGAGATTCCCATGGGCCACCTAATTGAATCTGCATATCAGTCCCTGGGGTTGAGTGACATTTTCTCTACTTTACAGCAGAGGAAACCGAGGCTCAGTGAGGAGATCAGTAGATCATCCAAGCTCACCAGTGAGAGAACCAGAGCTCGAATCTAATCACTCTGCAATGCCATCTCTCTGGGCAAATAAAGAGAGAGAGAGAAAAAAAAACCTGTGTATTCAAAAACAACCTTGAATATTACCCTTCCAAGTTTCATCGTTTAAAAAAAGAAGACAGTATCTATAGTCACTGTATAAAAACTGTAGCAGAACACTGAATTGGAAGATTTATAACTACCCTTCAATTAGAAAGGGCATGGAAGTAACAGAAATAATTTAAATGCAAAAGATGGGAACAGCAGACTTTGGAATTAGGCATTTTATTTAACTCATCAAATAATACAAGTGAGTTCAGGAAACAACAATCAAAATGTATTACTTGTACTAACGATATGTAGAACCACATTTCCAAGAAATCTAATGAAAATAAATGCTGGAAATAAATTACTTCGTGGGACACAGCAAATAAATAGATTTTTACAAACAATAACCCTGTGAATATTAGAAAAGAAACACGAGGGTTCTGGGGAAGGATGCATTGCAGAACTGGGGGAAAACGGAACTCAAAGCTAATGCCTGAATGAGACGTAAGAAACAGCAGCACGTTAATGGAAATTAGTAACAGAAATTCTAACTCGTTTCCTCCACCCCCTTGGTTTTAGGAGTGACTTCTCCCCACCCCCGAGACAGGCTCCGAGCACCGCTGCTGACTCCCACAGCCTAAGTGATCCAGATAATGTAATCGCACCATCATTAGGAACCATGAAATTGCAATTCCTCGGGGAAGGAGCGCTATCGCTCAGTTACACAGAGAAAAGCGATTAATTAGCAGATCTCAGTTTAACGTGACTATGTACTTACACGGGTTCTAATCCCACTCTGGAGCGGCTCTCAGGCCTAATGAATTACCTCTAGGAAGTTGAGCTGGAGCCAGAAGACATCATTCAAAATGACTAGATGAACTAAACTAAAAAAACCCCAAATTTTAATATGATAGACAGACCATCCACTGTTGGGGAAAAGCTGTAGAAACCAAAATGAGAGTCATCTAATTTCTCCTGATCCTGAAATGACATTGTTGAGTATGAAATTTCATGTTCGGACTCTATTTGAGGCAACTTGATCTGAACTGACTTATTCATTCACTCCATTCTACAAATGGTACCACTTTTTACAGAATATGACAGGATACTACTTTGGACCCATTTAACCCTTGGGAAGTTGCATCCTCAAACATTAGACACAGCAGACTGAAGGCCGCACTTGAAACCTCCATGATGGCAGCTTAGAAAATCATTCTGGAATGGGGACACCTTCCCTCTGACAGTGTAGGTGGAACCAGGATTCTTACCATTCCCAAGAGGGTGACGTCTCTCAAACCAAACCTGATGGGCACCCACCCTCCTTGGTACTGGCTCTTTGTGTTGAGCTCCTGGGCCCCACCTGAAAATCAAATAGATGGGTGCAGAAATCAAGGACTGGTCTTTACACACTGCAAGGCCTCAGCTCTTGGGCTGGCTAGTGTATTTCCACTTCACAACGTGCCTGGATTCTTAATTAAATCTCCCTGGGTGCTTATACCTCTGGTCTGTATCTATGGGGGGTTTGTAGCCTGGGGCTTCAGTTCTAGGACATGACACCCAGGGACAATACTGAGGGGAGACAGTGCCTTGAATGTGGTGGTTCAACCTAGAGGAGGGGGCTGAATTGTCTTTGGATGCCAGTCCAGAAAATGGGCTGTGGCTCCAAGGCCAGGACTGGTACCACACACTGGTTTCTAAATCTCTTTCATGAATTTTATCCAAGTGCATGTTCATAACGTGCCCGTGAGCAAGGGAGGGGCAGACACAATGTCAACAGTCTGGTTTACTGATAGGAAACTGGATGCCCAAGAGGGTGAGTAACTCACCCAGGCAGGACTGGCTTTATCATTTGCAGGACCCACTGCAAAATGAAAATGTAGGACCCTTTGTTCAGAAAGCAAGAAAGTATGCCTTTTGCTTTCTTCCCTATTCTCTTCTTCAACAAAGAGATTTAGAAACCAGTGTGTGGTACCAGCCCTCAAGACAGCGGCTGCAAAGCATTAATCCCCAAGTGTGATGCCCCTGTGTGACCTACTGGTCACATGCCCATGACACCAGCCCTGCATTCAAGACCACTCAGAAGCTCAGCTCGCCAAGTCTCCTGGTCTTCTAGAAGGTTCTACACAGCAGAGACTGCCATCTCACCCCAAGGCCCTCGCTTTGTCAGCTACGTCCCCTCTGTGCTGCCGCGGATGGCGGGGAGCTGGCAGAGAGCCACGTTTCTGAGAGACCCTCCCGCCAACTTTCCCAGTTGCTGGATGCGAGACTGAAGCTGGGGCAGGGTGAGCCTTGTGGAAGGCCACACGGCAGGGCCCAGGGCCCCGGGACCTGAGGCCCAACTCGGCACTAAAGTGTCCAGACTTCTGGAAAAGACTGGCGCCTCACCGGGCCTCCCTGCCAGGCTGTGCCTGGTTCGAATGCTGCAGCCGCCAGCACCCAGGCCCGGGCGTGTCGTCAGGGTCTCCTCCCGGTTCCAGCAGCTTCTGCTTAGCAACGGCGCGCAGGGGCTTCTGGGAGTCCCCCATGGGCTCAGCGTCGCCGTGAAGCCTCCAATTCTTTTTTCTCCACAAGATTCTCTTGGTGGGGCGGGGGTGCTGGTGACAGCGGTAGGTGAGGAGACACTGCAAGAAATTGAGGACAGAAATGCCATCCGCTGGGAGACACCAGGAGCTCAGCTAAGGAGGTGCCCAGGGCGTTTCCTGACGATTCCTCGAGAGCAAAGATCTGACATCCAGGGGAAAAGGCAGTCATAGCCAACAGGGACGGCACTGAGTTCTTCTGTACACGTTGGTTTTAGAAACGGACCCAGGGAACTTCGCACCCCTGGTGTGGGGGCCAGCACCCCCCCACAGGCCACTGGCTCTGGGGCTGGGCCACAGCCCTCCTCAGCCTGAGGGGCCAGCGAGACCCAGCCTGGAGTTGCTGGCCGGAGGGCACGAGGCAGGGAGGACGAGCGACAAAACTGCCAGCCCCCAGTGCTGTCTGAAGGCCTCCCGGGGCAGAGGCCTCCCTGGAGGTTGAAGGCCCAGAGTGACTTTCCGCAAGTCTCGTCTCCTCCCCGAGCCCCGTTTCCCCATCTGAAAACGAGCAGGCGGTCAAAATGGCCCCCGAAGCCGCACAGCTCAAAGGCTCCGTGAATCCGAGCTCCTCGGCCGCTCGGCTCTGGCCGCCCACGCCATCGCCAACGCAGCCAGCGCCGGGCTGGAGGGATGCGGAGTCCACGCTTCCTCGTTTCAAAACCCTGCTCTCCCGGGCTCTGTGGGTTTCATCTCCCCTCACAAAGGAGTTCAGAGGGGCCGTCCGGAGGCCGGAACGTGCGGCTGCATGTGCCGGGGCGCCCTGGCCCCTCCGATGCCACGCGGCCAGACATCAAAGTTTCTCCCTGTCTGGGGGAGCGCGTGCGGGAGGGACCAAACCGGCCACGCGCCCAAATCTGGATTCTGCTGCTATTTTCCCCTTTCCGCATGGGGGACAGGGAGAGGAGAAGAAGGGGAGAGAAGCCTTTGAAAACGTCTCCTGCTCCATTTCCTCCCTGCTCGCTGCTCTTTGCTTAGCAATTCACCTCACCGGCGAGCCCAGCGACACTCCCGTGGTGCACCTCTTAGCCACGCGGCAACTTTTTTCCCTTTTATGATATTTTGGGCTTCTGATTGCCTGCCAAGTCAAACCTTTATCATTTAATAAGCAGAAAAAAAAAATCCTCCAAGTCAGCCCAGATCTAAACGGGCCTCGTTCCTACCCCCTGCCTCTCCTAGGTTGGTCCTGGATGTGGGACCAGGGCTGATGGGGACCTACCCACTTGCAGGCACGTGTCGACCCTCCTCAGGCTCCGTCAGGGAGGGCTCTTTTGCAAATGTAGTCATGGCAATTGCAACGAGGAATGAACACACAGCACTGCCCACTGGAGAGGACTTTGCCAGGTAATTCATGGTGATGGCATTAACGTCAGGGGCTGACAGTGGAAGGCAGCAGAGGTAGGGACGTCTCAGTGGGATTTCAAGAGCTTGACAGTGACCTGCCCAAGATTAGAGAACCACTCAGGATCCTGGGGATGGAAACAGCTTTCTGACCTCCAGCCCCAGTGCTGTGAGATGATCTTCCTTCTCCTACCTATCTCCTTGACCATGTGTCTTCGGGGCCTGGAACATAGTAGATGCTCAATAAATATTCATTGAGTGGATGAATAAGTCTGATCACACCTGCCATGCTTCAAACAGAGAAAGGTCTGATTATTTAGAAGTCTTGTTGGGGACAATAATGATGAGCTCATCGAAGCCATCTAGTTCTTCTCACTTGAATTTCCCCCTTTCTTTAGAAATGCTGTCTGGTACCCTTGGGGGTGGGGTGGGCTTAGATGAATAAAAGGAGATGGAAATTGAGCAGAGAGTCTCTGTTGGTCACAACATCCCCCTGTGCCAAGAGCCCTGCATGGGGCAGGGTGGGGAAGTCTGCTCAGGACATGCAGAATCCATCTGGGGCCTTTCCCCAAAGGCCAAATTGTGCCACAGCGGCCCTGGGCTGCTCAGCTTCAGCAGGGCCAGACGAGGGAAACAACTTGCCAGAGTTCAGGGTTAACTGTCCTAACTCCATCCCCTGCTCTCCTACTCTTTCTCCAAGAGAGAGGAAGACCCGCCAGCACATCCTCAACTGGTTATTGCTCCCCGGCAGAGCCCATTCTCAGACCCTGTGTGTGCCTGGGTGTGGCCCTGCGCAGAGCACAGTCCTTAGAAGATTGGGGGCCTGGTCAGGCGTGTGGGCTTCTATGACAAGGCTATGTCCCGGCAACCCTCCCTCACCATCAGGGCAGCTGGTACAGAGGAATCTGCAGGGAACTGGCCCAGGCACCCACAGCCCCCATCTTGACAACACTTCTCCCAAAGACCAGCAAATGCCCCCTTGCGTGGTGGTGGGTCTCCCTCCACCAAACCCCAAATCTGCTCCTAGGAAACGGCCAGACAATTCACACTGAAGCTGTCTAGGGAAAATGAATCTGCATTTTCCCAGCACTCAAGGTCAGAGACCAAAGGAGTGACTCTTTCAGGTGGGATTACAGGCATCTACCAGCCCCTAGGGTGTCACTGTGCAGGGGCTGACCTGACCTTACAACTGTACGTGCCTCAAGGTCAAGGCCTTGGCCACTTCCTGTGCCCAGAAGAGATGCAGACAAGGGAAGGGGACAGTGGTGGAGTCTCAGAGAGTGGGGCCACGTGGGCTTCGGTCTCTGCTGGTTCACCAGCCTGGGGCTGACACTTACTTCTCCACCAAACTTGGCAACAACCCCCCATGCCCCAAGGTGATGCATTGGGCCATATTCTCTGTTCCTCTTCCTTCTGATGGCGTAAGACAGGGAAAACCAACAGGAAAATGCAGCACAGCCTGCCAAGTGCTTAGTCCCATGTGGGTGGACAGTAGGGCCTAAGTGTCAGCGGAGGGTGCATCTGTGGCCTGGGGCCTTGACAGAACCTTCTGGAGAGAAGCTGGAGCCAGAGGATGTGTTCATTTTCAACTCTGTGGGGCCTCATCATGAAAAAAACATTTCCTTCTAACTTAGGTACTTTTCCTGGCAAAATAAGTTAAAAACAGAAAAGCTGAGGTAACAAAGTGGTGTGGAGCCGTGGAAGTGGCTGGGCTCCCCGTGGTATTGTCCCCTCCTGAACACACCTGGGGGAGTCCCCGGGAGGGGGTGAGAGGCGGCTGCGCCGCGTGTGCTGGTCTCGCCCCCAGGAAAAGCCCAGGCGGCTCCCGCCGGAGCTGCTGCGTGTGCAGCTGATCGATCGGGCTTCGGAGCCGCGGAGCTATTATTCACGCCAAAGGGCCTTGTTTGGACGAAGGGGGGGGGGTGCGGTGCACGGAATCACAGGCCGGAGCTGTGCGGCTTGGCATTTCCCCCCTGTGATGCCGTCGTTGTTTATGCAGCATGAGCAAGAGCAGTGCAGGGGGAAGTGCTTTCCCCACAGTCCCCTGGGGGTCCCTGCGGTGTGGCCACTGGGACTGTGGCTCGGGCTGGGGTCCCAGGAGAGACGCCCTGTCTTTCCCCTTCTTTGGCTCCTCCTATAGAAGGGCCGTGATGGGCTCAGGGTGGTACAAGGTGGGGCCTACTTGCCTGGTGGGTCTGCCCCTCCCCCACGCACCGTCTGTCCCCAACTCCCCAGGCACTCCCATCCCCCGTGTCCTGCCATCTTGGTGGCCCTACTTGCCTCTGGTGAGCTGGCTCTGGAGCGTTTTCCTTGCTACTGACCTGGAATCCCAACGGAGACGGGGACCTCTCTCAGCACCCCTGTGTCTTCCCACCTGCACAACGGAGGGGACACTGACCCTGGCTCCATCACCCATCTCACGATGCCTCGGCTCCAACCATGCACTCTCCTCTGCCTGGGCCTGGCTGTGCCTGGTTGCCCTTTCACCTCACCCTTCTTGGGTACAGTGCCCATGGTTTCAAGAGCTTTTCTGAGCTGTCCACCCAGTCACCTGCCCCAGTTAACAAAGGCTGGCTTCTTGCCTGAGAGCCACTCGTCTGATCACAGTGTGTGGACAGTCTCTGGCAGATGCCCTTGGCCTGAGACTGGTGGGTCCCAGGCAAAGTAAAGCCACAGAAACAAGCATATTTCTGGGGGTCTAGTTTAAAGTTGGTGAGTTGCAACACAGCATAAGGTCAAGTTTGAGGCTGGTTTCTAATCTCAGGCAGCACCCTCAACCAGAGTCGCTGGGAGTCAGACTGGGGATGGTTGGCTCACCGCAGAGCCTTCCTTCCTTCTGGAAAAATGGCTCTGAACATGCCTTCTGCTGAGGTGTGGAGGCCATCCCAAGGCGGGCAGATTGTCATGGCTAATGTGGACTGGATTGAAATGGAGGCTTGAGACCCTACAAGGGAGTGTCTGCTGTTTCCACACCTACTGCGATCAATGAAGCTTGAAGACCAGGCCTCACCTGGCTCATGCCTGCCCGCCTGGCCCCTCCCGTCCACAGCTCCCGCAGGACCTCGGGGCGGGGCAATGCTGGGAGATGCTGCACTGAGCAGGGAACACGCACCACCTCTTCCCCTCATGCTCATGGCTGAGCCACCTAAGGGGTCTGGTCCCTTTGGAGATGGGAGAAAGTTACCCCCGCTGGCCTCAAGTGTCCATAAACCAGGCCCCTGAAGGTGGCTCCCAGGGTTCTATAAACTCATCTAACAAACAGGGTGAACAGACAGACAGCAGTTGTGGCAGAGAGAATGTGTCACTGATGTCTGATTTAGGATGACGATGATGGAGCTTGGTCCTTTCTATCCCTTCAAGCTCATAGCCCATGGAGAAGCTGATCAAGTCACCAATGGCAAGTCACAGAAAGGAAAAAGGGCAGAAAGTCCATTCATGTAGAGTGATGCTCATGTTGTCTGTTAGGGAAGCCCTGTATGTAATGAGCTCCAGCCGACTGCACAGAGATGCCCAAGACTCCCCCATCACACCCTCCCTGAACCACGTCTTCCTCTAAGACGTCCCTCTTACTCTCCCGCCAGACCACAGCTCTCCAACCACACACTCAGCTAAAGGGGAAGGCAAGTGGACCAGAGACTGGGGACACACAGTGGTTCCTTTGAAGCCAGCGCTGGCCACAACCAACCATCAGGACTTGGCTCTCCCCAGACCTTCCCTCCAAATGCTCATTTCTCCCAAAAAAGCCACCTCCACTCCCGGGCACCGAGTGCCCCGCTAGGCTAGCAGTTCAAACCAAAGAGATGAGGAAATCATCGCTTGTAGTTAATTCTCAACTACGTAGACAAACTGCTATAAATATTTATGATGGGAAATTTCATTATTTAAAAATTCTGCTCTAAATTTCCAGCTAACTCCACGAAGAATGCCTGCTGAACAGGTTGCAAATTAAGAACAATTATTTTTCTCTTCTGCATTTGAATATAACTTACAGCTAAAGTCATTTAAAGGGGTTAACATCAACCTTAATTAAATATTAAAGTGTGCCTGTACCTGCTGCTATTGTTGCCCCTTCGAATAAGATATAACCTATTTTTGACAAGTTTTCATCTTTCTCTGTGGAAGACGCTACATGAAACCAAATCAGTGGCAAAGAGGAGAGTAATGAATAATCTATTTCATATTCCAACAGTACCCAGAGCTCGGAGTGGAAAAATATTCAGTCAGATGATGGCAAGAGGCTGCTAGGGTACCACATGACACAGCTAATGTTTAAATAATAATAATAAAAAAAAGCGATAAACAAATCATTAGCCCTTAACAGTTGTTTAATGCAATTTGTTAATGAACGTAATGGTGGGGACTAATAATGAAAGAAAATAAAAACGTCTAAACAGGCGCCAAGTTGCTGGCGATGCGCAATTATTTCCTTGTCAAGTTTTTATGATTTAATGAGCCCCTCTGGGACTGACGGCTGTCAGTCAGTCGTGACTTTTTGACACCATTACAACTTCAAATACAGCAGCAGGCAGGCTGTTTTCCTCGGATTTGAAATACTGAAATGATCTGACAGTTTTAAAGAAAAGATGTGCAAAAAAAAAAAAAGGAGAGAGGGAGAGAAAGACAGTTGCTTTTTCCTTTCTTTCTTTTTTTTCCCCCCTCCCTCATTCCATGGGTTGGTAATCTCTGGATGCTGTTTGGTAATGAAAACCCAATCACTGAGGTCATTATCTGATGAGGTTTTTGGAACAGGCAGGCTTTTTTCCCCTTTATTTCTTCACTTAATGATAGCCCTCAATGGGCTTGCCCCGCATGGGATGGCCAGAGCCGCACAATTTTGTTCACCATTAATTTCAGCCTTTGAAGCTCAGGGCTCAGAAGCAGTAGCAAAGCAAACCCCCCACCAAGCTGGTTCCAAAATAAGACAATCCAGCCTGCCTTAAACAGAATAGCAAATGGCCTCCCAGCCCAGGCCTGAAAGCTGACGTCAAGCCCACTGCATTTGCAGGCATTCGCCTGCAACACGGAGCATTTACAACTCTTTGCAACTTAAGAGACTTTAATTAAATTGCTTTTGATTCTGGAGCAGGGTAGCAGCCACTTTATTTATTCTGTCAGGGAAACTGTTTAGTCTGCATGAATTTTATATGGCAAGGGCATCCTTCTCTTCTTCCTCCTCCATGTCTTCATCTTCATCTCCCCACCCCCATGAAACATCATTTTTAACAAGGGCTCCCAACTTCAGACACATTCATCCATCAGAGTCTACATATTAATACCTAGAACCTCTCCCAGATCTGTTCCACAGCCTCCTTCAAGTCTGTGGACTTCCTTCCTTCCTCCCCCCGTGCAGCAGGGAAGGAGAGAGAACAGCCGGCCTGCCTGGGGGGCTCCTCTGACTCATTTCTGCAGCAGCCAGGGGGGCCAGGAAGCAGCTCGGGGACCCTCAGACCAGGTTCCTCGAAGAGTGCTCACTCCCCTGGTCGGGGCTGTTGCTCGCAGGTGGTTTGATAGAGTTGTTAGGCCAAGGTTACCTGTTCCTGTGCTGCCCACTCCCAAGGTTGAATTGGGGTGAAATCACAGGCCAGAGCTGATAAAGACATAGAACTTAGAAGAAAAAGCTATAGAGAGGTGAGGTGAGCCATAGCCCCTTCCTCGTCTCACCTCTTCAACAGGCGTGCAAGGTTTCAGTGAGATATTTAGGAGCCAGCGAGCTCAGATGACCCTTGCTCGCTAGGTGGCCTGGGGGAAGCAGTGGACGGAAGTGTCGCTCGGTAGCTGCTCGCACACTTTAGCTAAGACCAACAGTTTCAAAGGAAGCCACCGGAGGGGTTGATATAATACTCCACGACTATTAGTGTGTCAGAATAAAAAGGGGGTTGTTTGTTTGTTTCCTTGCTTTCTAATGGTTTCTTAGATGTGTTTAGCACGTACAGAATTCTGTTATCGGAAGACAAGATTCTCGCTGAGATGGATCCCTTCGGCTGACAGGAACATTAGCATAGCTTCCCGCTCCACCACTGTCCTACTTCGCTCGGCCAAAATCCCACACCATCCTTCCGAAGTCAAGACTGCGGCTTTATTTACACAATACTAAATGATTTATCTGAACACACGCGGGCCCTCGCCTGTTTCGACGAGTACAATTTCTCTGGTGGATTTTTTGCATTCTGCATTTCCTCTCAAAACTGTAATGGTTTGCTTTTGAGTTGGGAAAAAAATAGCGAGTGCTGTATCCAGGTAATCTTGATCCACGGGCACAGGTGGTTAGCATTTTTGATGACGAGAACAGGTTTGCTTTTCAAGGATTCAAAGCTGCTAATTATATTCAAAAGCTAGTACAGACCAGTAAATGCCTATGAGGTCTTAAGAAAAACACATTTTGCTTTATGACTAGGGGCAAAATGGCCTCAGCTTGGGCAACCTTTAAGCCTGATCACAAATGAACTCATTTTGAATGCAATTCCTGGTTACCTCACACAGAAAGAAAAAAAAAATCACAAAGCATGTTAGAGGTTTGAAGACAGTGAATTCAGGAAGGCATTGCTAACAATTGTTAGTAAAAAAAAAAAAAAAAAAAAAAAATCCAAACCGTTCCTTTTGTGGCAATTTGCAATCTCTTATTCTTTTAAAGGAGGTTAGTGAACATTTTCCATAAAGTTTATTTCTAGTGGATCATCCTATAGGACTCTCCCATATTTATATAATCACATTTGAAATTTCACACTGATGGAGTCTTGTTCTTGCTCTTACTGAAATATTCATGTTCTCTTTACATACTGGAATGGATGTGGAGAGAACCTTGTCAGACCTTTTGCATGTATGAGGGCTGCTTTTGGCAGTGCAAATATTAAAACCGAAAGGATACAGGGATGCTTACACAGGTCAGGGAAGACGAGGTCACAATTAAATACCGCACCAGGGCTCCCTCTGCCAGGAAGTTCTGGGGAGTATGGAATTTGGGGAAGGCCAGGAAATATTTCTTGTAGCCCATAATCAAAGTTGTGAAAAGTGAATTTTGGGCAGGCTTAGCAGAAATAGTCTCAGGTTAAATAGAAATGATGCAATAGAAACACAGGGAAAGTGCTAAGTCAGTTTCCCACACAGCTGACATTAAATACCCACCTTTACAATGAAAGCACTCAGGCAGGCTGACTATAGTCCTTATGCCTGGGTAGGAACAAGGTTGGTTTGCTGGGGTAGGTCACTGGCTCCGGCCCCTGCTTTTCTCTGCATTTTTATCCTTAGACATCACAGGAGGCTTTTCAGTGACAAGCGGCATGTGACAAACAGATGCTCCTGTGAGTGACTCATCACACCCTCTCCCAAACCATGACCCCTGACATGTCCACAGGACAAAGAAGAATGTCACCAAGGCTATTTTGGTCAATTGATGAAAATTACCAAGAGGCAAATAAACATTCACCTTCCCCTATGAAAAAACAAATCTGGCTGAAGACAGACCTAGAAAAGGAAACCAACCCACATGCAAACAGAAATAGAAAATAGTTTTACACTCTTTGCACTTCAGCTGAACAGTGGTGAGGGAGAGACGGGGTCACCCGGGGCCTGTCAGCGCAAAAGAATGATTCATGTGACCATTTTGTCTTAATTACTCCGAACAAGCGGCCGTTGCTGTTTATCAGGGGAGAGCAGATACATCAGTGTCTTCGGACAGAGAAAGTGATTGCCGCCAGGATGGTGATGACCACGATGATCCCGAGGATGACGAGCAGGATGCGGTTCTGGATGATTCTGGAAGAGAGCAAAGGGAAGAAACCCACACAGGTAAACGGTGGTGTCCCGGGAAGGTGGTCCAAGGCCTCGGTGGCTACTCAAACGGCAGCTTTGTAGGTGGGGGTGGGGAGCCGTGTGTGCATGGTGCACGCGTGTACGTGTGTGTGTGTGCGCGTGCGTGTGTGTATGTGTGAGGTCATGCAGCTTTTTGTCCTACAAATGATCCACGAGGAGACGGACGAGTCCACAGTGACTGTCACGCTGCCCGCCCTCCGAGAAATGCTCACCGCAAAGCTAAGGTGAATCAAATGGCTTTCCCGGCTCAGAGTACCATGTAGTCTCTTTAAGTGATCAAGGACCCCTTGCCAGCTTCTCTTTTTAATTTAAAAGGTGAGACTTTTTTTTTTTTTTCCAGTGTTTCCTGTTAAAATAAAAGACTCCAAGGAAACATATGTCAGGAAGGTACTTACCTGTACAAAAATACCCGGGGAAAAGTAAAAGAGAGACTTAGGAAGAAAAGGACAGGATTAAGAAGCAAGTGTCAAACGTGCTGCTTAGGCTGTGAAACCGTCATCTGTCACTGTGGCTCACGCTCCGTTACACCAGGAGGAAACGTTACATTTGCTCCACAGCAGAAAAAGATGGAAATGAGCACGGATACAAAGTACTGCTCGACGTGCCCGTTGTGCGTTTGCTGGTGGGCCCTCACCCCTAGGGACGCTAGCCCCCGGGTTCCGGCTCTGCTGCATGCTGACGGGGAACCGAGAACGCGGAGTGGAGACACATGTTCCCAGATGCCTGCAGAGAGCTTCTGATGAGGTTGTTTCATAATTTGTCACCTCATTCGGAGAAAAGAGGTCGAACATCAGAATGCTTTGTTGAGACTTTCAAAGGGAACCCAGGTCACACTGCCTTGCCCACGCTCGCTGTCAAAGAGCCACACAGAAATAGAGACACAGGGTGGTTGGCAGTCTAGCCGGATATCCAACCAGCTTAAAACCCCAAGGCAAATCCCATGCGACCCCACTCCAAATATCAAGCAGAATAAGGTCTGCTGCCTTATTCTAGACACTGAACACGGGACAGGGGGCTTCCATAGGGAAGAGCTAGGTGGGATTTAGCCAGGCCCCCGATGAATAGAGACCCTACCCTCCTACTGTGTATCGTCACTGAAAAACCTTTGCAGGGTATTTGCAGCCATTTCTAGCTTCTGGATGAGCTCATTCCTTGGAAGGAGGACAACATCATGTTGTAGTTTCAGTCTGATTCCTCCTCACCCATCCCCTTCTCCAAACCTAAACGGATGAATGGAAACTGTCACATCAGACCAACCTACTCCCTTGTGGCCCCCTAAGAGGACGAGCTCCCTTTCCTCCTGACAGGTTACAAAATGATCACATTTGCTGACACGTCTTCCGCAAAACTGCTTTAGTGCCTGTGTCCACTTTCGTCGCAGGAGATGAATGGGCCGCTTTGTCCTCATTTATCACGCAAGGCTCAGCTAAGATCTGTCTCGTTTGTTTCTTCCCTTCCCCACTAGAAAGTCTGTGCCCCAACATTAATTCTTCTGTGATGACAGCTAATTCAGACTTAACAGGCCATGTTTACTCAGGAGGCAGAAGAGTCTCTGTCCCCCGAAGAAATAAATAAAAACAGGACTTCACGAAAGCTTATTAAAGTGAGGCTAATTATGAATACTGATCGGTACTATTTGGTGGCTCCGTTTAAAACCCAAATTGATTTTTCCCCCTTTTCTCTGGAAGGGACAGAAGTCTTCAGAACAGTCCCTACACATCCTATTTGCCCAAGTCACTGTCAAAATCTCTATTTACCACAGTCACCCGCATCCGACTTGCAAAGGAAATCAGCAAAATTGAAAGTCAGCAGTGAAACAGATTAAAAGCATGAAAACTCTTTAAAATTCTGCCTTAAGTAATCTACAGTAGCGTGTCTCTTGTACAGCTTGGTTGACAACCATTTTATTTGTGGGTTGAGGGCCCCAAGGCATCCAGGATGCTAATTTATAAAGGATTAAACTGTGGGGGTTACTTGTTCAATCTGAGGCACGGTTAGAAAAGTGAATGCACAGGAATCCCTAAATCCTCAGCTCCTCCCTGGCCCTTCCTAACTGGGCTTCGCCCCCTCCTCGGTGCATTCTCAGGGCCTGGTGGCTTCCTCCTGTCCTCCCCTTCTGACACCTCAGTGGACCCACCAGGGTGGACCAGGACCACGCAGAACTCACCCTGGCACATGGCGCAGCTGCCAGCACACGGGTTCTCAAAGGGAACTATCCAGGGAATGAGAATGGAAGAACGCAGCCCCCGCTAATTCTAATCATTCCATTCAGGTGATCATTCCATTCAGGGAGTCTGCATGGAAAAGGCTGAAGTTATAAGTAGAAACAAGCCCCCCAGAGTCGGAGCTTCACATCCTCATGCCTTCTCAGAGCACTGCTGGGCCTTCTCCCCGAAGCCAGGAGGAGGCCTAGTCCTCGGGGAAATGGGGCGTGTGCTGGGGGGTCCAGCAGAAAGGGCATTTGCTTTCAACACCAAGGCTGGCAGATACGTGGGAGAAAGAGTAGAGAGGGGAAAAAAAAGAGTTGAAACAAGAGAGAGCTTGACTGGCTAGGCCATCACCCCAGCTAGACCTCAGAGGAGCTGTGCAAATGTAGTGCCTCTCAGGACTGCAATAGTCAGCAATCAGGGTGTTTGCGTGGATAGGACTGAGCCAGCTTGGAAGGGGGACACGCAGGCTGGCATTGGTGGGCCCCATCTGTGAAGAAACCTAGACACAGGCTCAGCCAGGGGCTGCCGCCCACATTGCTGTAGGCAAAGCAGAGAGGAATGCAGGTTCTGAGAGAATCGGAGAAACAAGCCAGGCAGAGGGGTTCCCAGCTAGCAAGCCGAGAAGGAACTTTGGGGGAAGCCCAAAGTAACTTCCTGCTAACTTTGGGCAAGGGGGGCTTTATCTTCAACAAGGTCTGCAGCAAGCAGTCTTAATCTCCCTTTTGAAAATGCAAAGTGTGTTTACCCAGTAAATAATTTAAGAAAGAATATACACTTGAAAGAAGACATCCATTGAAACAGCCAGGCTAAATTGCCTCCAGGCAAAAACTTGTGCATTTGCATGCTGCATTCTATTAAGTGAGCACACTGTGGCTTTAAAAGAATGCAGAGCCAAAATAAAAGGAATGTGGGCCCGAAACATCAAGGATTCTCCAAATTTACATTATGAATCACAGTGCTGTTGATACAAGATGAATTAACCATTTACTTTGAGGCTGAACTCACAAAGTACTATTGAAAGTACTGATCCCCATGTGGAACCCAGGGAGCGGTTAATCTTTCCATTGCCGGTCCCCTCTCCGCCTCTGCCGCGTGTGGCAGCCAGAATCACAGAAGGCTGGTTCCAGGGAGGGAGGCAGGCGGGGCACCTGGCACAGTTCTCTGCTCTTGCCTGAAGAGCCTGGAATTCCACTGGATCAGGCGTTACCAGTATTCGCCAATACCCAGTTCTCCTCTACTTCTAGGCACAGACTGCTTTTACCTGTCCCTTGATGTCAGGTGTGGCCATGGGACTTGCTGTGGCTAAAGAAATGTGAGCAAAAGTGCTGGATGTCACATCCAGGTGGAAGCATCTAACTTCCAGTGTGTGACTCTCCAGATGACTTTCTCTGCTGTTCTGATTTAGGGGCCTGGATGTTACGGGAAGGTTGAAACTCCTTCTGCCTGGATCCCTGAGTCATCACATGGAGACCACTGCCCTGGAGACTCACCTGGACTCACATGGACTTGTATTAAGCCAGTGAGATGTGGGGGCTGTTTGTTACTGCAGCACACCATAGCATGTATCCTGGGTGCTACCCCGCTGCCCCTCCTCAGACAAGGCGAGGTGTCTGGCCAAGCCAAGTGAGGCTCTGGTTTAATATATTACAGAAGCTGAAGTACGATAAGGGCTGATCAGATTTTTTTCCTTGAAGAATAAGATTTTGCTTCTTTGTTTGCAGAAGAAGCTGAGATCCTTTTCTGTCTACTTGGTCATAACATTTTTCACTGAAGGATCAGGAACTTCTTCCAGCTAAAACCAATGCTACCGAGCGTTGATGAGTGATGATATCACACATGAAGCTTCACCAAGCCCAGCTAGGCACTCTGCTTTCTGGGTATAGCAGACATACGTTGGCTGCATTCATTTCTCCATTCCAAACATGGATGCTACCCCTAACTCCAGGGGTAGAGCTGTGACCTAGGCTAATATAGTCATCGCGTCCCACGCCCCTGGCCATGGTGACTGGACAAGAAGTAGGCTGGTGACGTAAGCCAGTCCAACAGAATGAATCTCAGCACCTTTGCTTGGAATGCTGGGTCACCTGGAGTGTGGCGTGTGGATGTGAGACTGGACCTGCTGCAGCCCTTTTGTTTCCATGAGGGAAGCCAGCCTACATTGTTTCCTTCCATGAGGGAAGCTGACCTACAGAGGGCAGAGCAATGGAACCCCGGTCCTGCAGGCACAGTGAACCTCTATATCAAGCTGCCCTTCCCTTGGACTTTGACTTACATGAGAAACTACATTGACTTTATTTTTCAAGTCAGTTTGAATTGGGTCTTCTATTATTTATGACCCAAAGCACTTTTAGGCTGAGTCACCCTGATTCCAACACAAAGTTTTCGATTCACAGCCTACGCATATTTTCCCCTTCTCCTCTGAGAAAAATCTCCTTGTCATGCGCCTCTCTCACTCCTTACTTCCCTGTGCATCTCTTACCACTAAACTTACTACATGGTTTTATGATTTTACGTGCAGTATTCCCCGGTAAGAAAAGGACCTTCTGCAGCCTGAGTCTCCTCTGTCTTTTGTATACCTAGTGTCTAACACAGAGATTGGCATAGACGTTCTTAAAAAAAAAAAATGCTTGCTGAATGAAGAAGCGAGACACTCTGCCTGCAGGTGCTCATCTGAAGGTTCACGGAGGGAGTGAACCTGGTTTCCAAGGCTGCTTGGTTCCAAGGCTCTCCTGG